AAGATATAAATGTTAGCTTATAGATGAAAACTATCTTTTTTCACAAAACATATAGATCGCCATAAATTTTATAAGTGCTGCAACTTGCAGATCCTTTAATTATACTTGATTTATAGAAAAAAATATTTGAATTATTGACATTAAATCTATACATTATGATCACGTTTATCCAACTGCGAAGAATAAAAATATGCAAATACACCTAAACGTAAGTACTAATAGCAGATATCTATAGAAGGTGAACAAAATAAAATAAGCTTTGCCGATATTACTAAACATTATTTTTTTTTTTAAATCGCATATTGTTTGTGTATGCCTTTACTAAAATAGTTTTATGAGATATCTGCTAAACGGGTAAAAAAGAATGCGAATACCCTTATTAATTTAAACACATGTCTGTATATTCTGTGCTACCACAAACATTACGTATGTGTACGAAGATGTAATCATTATAACAAGATTTTGTATCCAGAATTATTTTGACGTTAAAGTATATTAGCTGTAAAGCTTAAGATTAGAAAAGATTTCAAACAGTTCTTGAATGTTCAAAAAGTATAAATACAGTACACAATTACTTTTTTTTTTTATTAATTGAATAGTTTTTGATTTACAATTTTAATAAAATAACAAAGCTATTTTAATTTTTTCCCATTTATTCGCGTCTATAATATTACATTATTTCGTATCATATACTCTACCTGATTAATAATGTCCTTTCAGTGTCAACGACAAAAACGACAAGGACCATACGCCACTAAAGCATGTGCTAATTGCCAACAAAAACATATAAGATGTTCCGGAAATGCAAACATTGTACACTACGCAGTGTTGAATGTATTTTTATTAATTCTGGTAAAAAACGTGGACCAAGGACACCATCTTCCGTAATCTCCAACGTGCAGGATCACGCATCCAGCTCCCCACAAGAACATGACAACTATGGAGAATTTTCTTTTTATTTTATTCCTTATGATGCACTTCAAATCGACACTTCTGAAGAGCTCGTTCCCCTTCTTAATCAAGCTGATTACTATGTTATGTAAGATTTAACTTCTGATCTATATCAAAACAATATATCCTTTAATAATAATGACACTCTTTATTTGTATAATCATGCAACTATTTCTTCTAATTTATATTATTCGTATTCTGAAGGATCTTATCATTAGTTGCAAAGAAATAGCATTTTAAAAAAAATTTCATACGTATATTTGCTGTTTAGGATTGATGATTTTTTTAAAGATATTATAGCAGAATGAACACTAAGGTTGTTCTCAAGCAGCTCCCTCAATGAGATTTGCTAGTGATCGAGATGCTGCTCAATCATTTCGTTTAATCGAAATTAATTGAAATGATCTTTATATCGATTTTGCCTGTACAAAATGCGGATTTAAATTTTAGCCAATCAGAGTAACTCCATGAAAAAAAAGATGGTTGTTAGGTCCAGATTTTTTTGATCGAAATGATTAAACACGATCCATTATTTCAACCAATCAGATAATTTTATTAGCCATTGAGGGAGGTGCTTGTGAACAACCTAAGAAACGAAATCTCGAGTATAAATAAACTTTATCTTTAATTAAAAATAAAAAGAAATATACTAAAATCTTTATTTTTTTTAAATTACAAAAGTTATTACTCTTTTTTCGATTTAGTTGGATCAATGAATTTTCAGATTTTTTCCTTTGTCTGTAGCCCCACGAGCCCGTAAATCCATGAGCCCCATATATACATATACATATTAATTATTCGTAATTGTTAGATAAACAGCTAACAATTACAAATAATTATTATATTGTATGCAGGATTACGGACCAAAAATAAAAAAATCTGCAAAATTTATGGATCAACTAAATCGAAAGAACGATAACTTTTATTAGTTGTGCTTAAAAATTTCATATATTGACTCTCCTAAGTTTTATGAAGTCTTTATCAAATATTCATTTATAAATTTAGCCCAAATTCTTTTAAGCCATCAATGTTTTGATGCATGCTTTTATAAAATTAATTTTACGTATATTTTTAACAAGTTACTTCTTTTTGCACCTTATGCATTATGTCTACATCTGTAACACTAAGTTATTTGTTACTATATTTCCACTCTCTTTGGGATGCGTTTGGACTACCTATTTAGATACACACGAATCACAAGATTTGTATACTAAAAGTACCCAATTCAAAAAATACTGACTAACCAGTTACTCGGCAAAACTTTTACAAGAATTTATCAGCAGTAAAATTTTAATTTTTATTATTTTTAATGAAACTTTCTTTATATAAACTAAAGTGTTCAATAAGAAATCGATCCATTACTGCAAATTTTTAGAATTGGTCCAAATTAAGAGCCCCGAATTACTATTTGATTATCATATTATTACATTATTACATATCAACCACATGACGCATCTATTAAAATGATCCTTAAATCTAATAAAACTAATAGTTATCACGCCTCCCACCCTTTAAAATCCATCTCCTATAAAATAAAAGCATTTGTTTTAAATAAATCTGTTTATGGTTATACCGGTATTTATTTAAAGAATTTATTATTTTTGACGGAAGGGTATACAGTATGCTAATAAAAATTTATCAGGATATGTGCCCATTTTTATAACTTTACATAACAAACTCATATTAACATTTGCGTTATATAAATTTTAGAGCAGTGTAAAATCGCAATAATACAATGATATTAAAGACCAGACGAGAATTAAAATTCATATATGGGTGCCGCCAAGTGAAAACCAGGAATTTTAAAAATAGACTTCTTTACATAACAGAATGCGGGCTTTTAACCGACCTGACTAGAATAATAAATGTGAGGGACCAACATGAGGTTAGTTCCAACGTGAGGTCAATTAGTATTTAAAGTCCACCAATGATTAATAATCATAAAAAATACTAATTGGCCTCACGTTGGACCAACCTCATGTTGGTCCCTCACATGTTTTTTTGATCATATATTAGTATCATTTAAAGTCCGTATTCTGTTGTCTAAAGAAATCTATTTTTAGAATTCCTGGTCTTCACTTGGCGGCACCCATATGATATTATTAGATAAATGTATAGTTATAGCATTTTAAATTATAGTAAAATTAATTGTATCATATATTTAAGCATAATTTATATTACCAGACTATATCATTTTTATATTGTAAATTAAATCTTTTCATACAGTGAATACATCAACTTCGCCTTTACATAGTAATTTTTTTAAGTAGAAAAATAATTTTTGCTATTGACTATAAGTAAATGTAATTTGGATTAAGTAGAATATATCATCATAGTTCTAATACTAATGTCCTACTCTAAACTTTTAATATTTACACACTTATTTATCTTATTTATATTTAATTAATATAAGCATTTAGCATTTGGTATTTAACATTTATTGTATAATTTTTTAAAGCAAATTATTATAATTTCCAATCTCAGACCTCTCGACAATATTCGATACTCCCAAGTTTATATTTGCTCGATGTCGGTTTACCGTATTTCCCCAACATGTGTACCCGGTGTGATGCAATTTATCACATAGTGAAAAATTACAAATCACATGAATTACACATCACATGCACATATAAATAGTATTTTAAAAAATTGATCTACATTATTTATCACGCTGGGTACACATGTTGGGGA